AGTCTGGTTGCAGGTGGAGTCAAGTTCAGATGTGCCATACAGTCAGCTCAGACACAGTCTGTCTCCCCCTCCTCCCCCTCCTCTTCTTCTGTACAGTAAATAACAGTAGACTTGAAGGTTCATCTCTGAGGTGAATAAACGCCTCTAGTGTTGGCTCTGTGCTATTACACCTGTTTATTTTCCTCTTTTCTGTTCGGGTTTGTTCTTCACTGTTTGTAGTTTGTGTTTTTATGTCATTGGTTTTGTTAAAACTATTTTAATGAAAGTTTGTAGGTTTCTTTTTTTTTTTAATGTCACCTGACGTTGGTCTTCAGCTCATGTTCAGCATCGATGACCGTGGACCACAGATTGAACACAGCCTTCTGTCAAACACATTCACTGAAAGGTTCTAGAACATGTTCTGTCCTTCTCCAATAAACCAATAAATAAATGATAACATCAGCCACTGTCTCCACCTCTGCCTGCAGACAAACACACACACACACGTTTCTCTGTGCAGCACCACCTACAGGCGAGAGAAGGAATTACATGCAATGTTACATTTCAACGGTTTATGAAGAGTGACGTGAGTCCCGGATCCAGGCGTCTCCAGAACATTCTGATGGTTATGGACAGGCTATAAACCACTGAAGGTAATCCGGTGGTGGGGAGAGGGGGGGGCAGCGGGGTCGAGGGGGTCGTGTCAGCCGCTGACTCAGCTCAGTCCTGATCCCTGTGTGGAATCCACTGAATAAAAGAAGTGCTGCAGCGAGCGGCTTCCATTCACGGCCAGATTAGTGGAGCCTCACTGCTGTATAATCTGGTTTAAAAAAAAGAAAAGAAAAAAAAGATGAACAACCGTCCTGCCTGACAACAGAGGAACACACTGTCACGTGACTGGGAGCTGCCCCCACTGACTTTTGACCTGTTGACAAACATCTTAGTGACAAACGTCTTTGAGATTTATATTTTCGGCTCTTGTTGGTTTTTATAAACCTTCCTCGTTCTTTTGGACTTGGAGTCAGTCAGAGGTTTGTTTTTTCTTCACTTGGTCCAACTTTGAGTTGATTAACAATCTCTGCTCTTATATTGGACCCCCGCCCTGCTACGTTACAGCTTAGCTTAAATTAAATTAGACAAATATGAATCCATGTGTTATAAATGTGTATATACTAATGAGGATATACAGTATATTAGCTTTTAATTAAGTATTAATAATTATGTGTTAATCGTTAAATAGAATCTTGGTTATTTATCTGTATTTTAGTCAGGCAGTCTTCTGTGGTCTATTGACGGGGGTCCTCGCTGAGGCAGCGGTATTGTCGTGTTTATTTTTCCATAAATGAGTTCGATAAAAGTCTTATGTCCGTCTGTGTTTAAAGCCGTTCTCTTTGTAAAGGTTTAATCAAAACGTCCTGCAGATCGACGGTTATATAAATATATTTTAATAAGAAAAAAAACTTGTTAAAACTGTAGCAGCGTCGAGAGACTCGTCAGCGACACCTACTGACCGTAGAACGTCTGTCTGAGAGCATCTATCTATTTTTACCTCATTAACAGAGTCCGAGGTTTCACCTCTTTAGTGTTACATC